ATACATGATATTAAATAAAATTAATACATGGTATTTATAGGAATGTTATGTACGATGAATGAATGGGAGCTGGTGGTGGGGATGCGATTTTAAATATAGTACCGGTAGTCTTAGTTCTAAAAAATTGTCAAATTAAATAGAATAAAATAAAACAAAACTCACATATAATTATTTTAAAGGTCGCAGTGAAAATAGAAATGACAATAATAATAATAGCGTATATTCTATTATAGCAACCAATAACTACAAGCGTACACGTAGTTAATTTTAAAAATTAAATACCCAATACAGTAATATACTAATATTTTACCGTATGGGACGACACTGCCGGTGGTCCAAACACAGCTCGTGTGTATATGAGAACTGGTATATAATGAGGGAAACGACTTTAATGATCCCACACGACAAATATATAATAATTATTTAAATATTGCACTTAATAATATATTTTCATGTATATTATTAATAATTAAAAAAACGTACTATTATTTACTTCGTCTGGTACTCGTACATCAATCATCTGAGTGTCTATATTAAAATAGAAGCCTAAATTGTAAAATTTTTCTATAACAATCTTTTTAATTTCATCATTGATATTTTTATTCAAATATTGGATTTTTTTTTCATTTTGTGGATTTTGGTCAGTGAATCTCTTAAATTTTTGTAGTATTGAATCAGATTTATTTCGTTTAAATTTACATTCTTTAGATGCATTAAATATTTCACTTTCAATTTTTCTATTCTCTTCATTAAAAACACATTTAATTTTTGATAAGATTATTAAATCATTCGATAGTTCAGTTTGCGATGTAGGGTTATGAACAATATTGTTTTCAACTTTTTGTAAATGTGACAAATAATAATATAACATATAGTCATATGTTGTCTCATTTGATGGCATACCGTATAACGCATCCAATGCAATTAACGATTCTTTCATAACTGTTGCCAATAAAGTTATTTTCTTAATTATGCTCAATATTTCTGTGGTACATTCATGGGTATTATATTTTTTATCGAAAGTGTCTTGACATATGCTACAATAATGATTGATCATAACAAATATATTTTTTAAATCATTAGAGTATGCACAGCTAAGTATTAAAACAGAAGCACGTACTTTTTTATTGATCTTAAATCGATTGACAATTTTATTAATATCATTTAATGTATAGTATATTTTACGGTATTTCACACCCTTTATGTCAGTTAAATGTTGCCACCCATTGTATTGACAAATGCTATTAATTATTGCTGCTTTTCTATTCGAACAACTCATATTATTATTATTTTGTACTTCCATAAACAGAACTGCATAGAGTAATATAACACAAATTTCAAGTAATTTAATAGAAAACATTTATAAACGTATTTACCAAAAAACAAATATATTTCACTAGAAAGTAGTATTAAATTCTTTTGATAAAATTAGGAAAAAATATGCTGAAGATTCAAATTATACAAAAATGCTGCAGAAAAAATAATTGTTCAAAACTCAATGAATTACTTAGTATTGTTATTTTATATTTCTATTTATTTAGGTGTCACTTTTTTATTTAAAAATATTAAAGTATAGTGTTTTGAGAAAACATAGTTATTTTTAAAAATATAAATACAAATAAAACAAAACGTTTCAATAACTTTAAATTAAATTCGATATGTTGACAGGAGTCCTATTTTATACAAAAAATATAACGACAAAAATTAGCTTTATGCCTGATTATTCCGCCGAAGGAAAAAATAACTACATTATGTTATCACTTACATAATATTATCATTTTTATGAAAAAAAAAACAGTACTTACGAAACTTAAAACATTACTAAAAGAATAGGGAGAAGGTGGAATTTTTAACTAAGTACATTGTATACTGCAATATGTGTAGTATATATTTTACACATGATTAATAAATAAATGTTACATATTATAGTTATTTAAAGTGTATTTATTTTTAATTAGTTAAGAAAAGCATCATTATGTAAGAGTAATCTGAATTATAGGAAAGTACCTAAACAGTAATTTGAGGGAGACCATGTTCATAAAGATAAAAAAATTTTTTTATATTTTGAAAAGAAAGTGCATTATTGAACTTAACTAATCGCGTTTGTGTGTTCTCCTGTTATTTTTCCCGGATAGGCCTTTAGTGAAGTATTTTCTTTCTAGTTTTAAATAATAGAACTTTGATACGTGTTCTATGGTGCTTAGGGATAGATTAAGACCTATATGGGCTCCGGGACGGTTTCATAAGATGGACCACCCTATTAAAAATATCGCTACCATAAAAATAGTGATGAACAAAAAAAAAAAAACACTAGAAATACTCTGTCACTAATCATGACTAGGCTAGTTAAGTTCGAAGTGGGCCCCGGAGCATTCCCCTCCTTGACCCTCTTAATCTGGACCTGATTGTGCCACTGAGCATACGACAATACTTTATTTAAGTATTTATAGAAGTTTATTTATAAATAAACTTCTAATTTCGAGTCGGAGTCGGCAGATAGAAAATTTTTATTCGGCAAGTATAATTTAATTTTTTCTGTATGTTGATAAAATAAATTACTTTTAACACAAACATATATTCATGGCTTAAATAAATACCAATAAATGTATATAATACCAATAATAATAATAATTTGACATTTGTATGTATTAAAACTTTTTAATAGACTATATAAATTCAAAAAAATAATAGTATAAGGCTAATATGAGTCAGTTACTTCTTTTAAATTGATGAATATATATAATATCATGTTAAAGATCAATCTAATAGAGTTATTAAACATGAAGGGTGGAAATAAATAACTGGTTGCTTCATTTTCCCACCCAGACTATAAATAATATACTACAACAGAAAAGTTGCAGCACATACTTCTGGCAAAAATGTCTGTGGAATAGAATTAGGCATTAATAACATGTTCATTCATATAATATTACAAAATTATGCTAAAGCAATTACATACTTATCATAAAAATAAGAATGTAAAAATATAGACATTTTTTCTTATAATAATGATAAATAACCTAAAATTTATGAAGTTTAATTTGTGCAATTTTTTATTTTGACGTCGTCAAATTAATTAAAACATTAAACTAAAAATCACCGAATTAAACCTAAATCACTAAACTAGAAAAAAATATATTATAAATCTTTTGGTCGAAGAATAAATGAGACCTGAGTTTTAGCTTCGTTGCGAAGCTGAGAAGGTATTTTTATATAACATGTATTTACTGAAAATTTTAAGTATAATCAAATTAATTATATTTTAATACATTTAATAAATTATTAACAAAATTTGAAAACACTAGCTTATGTACATTATAACGCATAACATGTGGCCTCAATTAAACGTCTTACAAGTATACAACTTGTACACATAATAGACATTATATTTTGTTCGTTGTGTTTGAACAAATCTCTTTGTTTGATTGAAGTAAACAAAATAAGATTATACATGCAAGTGTAATATCAAGAAAATTGCCAATAAAATTTAACAAAAATTTTTTTTATTTATCATAAGTAATACAAATTAAATATTACATTTTATGAAGTTGTATTGTATCTAGTCAAGCATCATTAAAACAAATGATTCGGATAAAATTTCTATATTATGTTTCTAGTGGGTATCAATAATGTTCACTTAAAAAAAAATTTTTACAAATAGATGTAATTAAAATAAAAATTCATGTTTATGATTTATTTTATAATATAATCATTTTAATTATTAGACTATTAATAACCACAGGGTAATTTTATACGAGTCAAAAATAATACGTAAAAAATTCAGTGAAATGTGGAAATATAAAACATATTTAAATTTATATTTGATTAAAAAAAAATACTTCAATGTACTTGTATTTAATTCAATAATAAATACAATTTGGCTATAAAAAATAACCAAATAAAACTTTCTAAGAGAAAAAATATGTAGATTTTCTTACAATAATAACATTTAATTAGTTATATTAGATAAAGTATGAAAGACAATTTCCATTTAATTTGCAAAGATAAAAAAAAATGGGTTAAATTATAACATAATAATACAAAAAAGTAAATATACATACAGCAGTTAAAATAATTAGATTAATGAGAGAATGAGATCATTATACCTAAATAATTTTCCAATAAACTACTTTGATTAAATCAGTTTTATAATTGATCAGGTACCTATTAAAATAAAAAAAAATTTTATAACGTAATTTCAAAAATATAAAGAACTTAAAATATACATGTACTGTATAGTATGATAGTTGATTGTCATATTAAATTTAAAGAAGTAATTAAATTGGATCTAAAATGTTTTATTTAATGGGGAAAAAATAAAATAGGTACATTGGAGTAAAGATAAATAAAATTGGTTTGATGGTTGGAATCATATAACAAAATTCAGTTTACATTATGTAATTACTAAGTAAAATATGTAAATAAAAAAAAGAAGAAACGCGCCTAACCTAAAATCACATGATATATACACAAACAAAATACCTAAGTAGTTAAACCACACATCAATTGTGTGGACATTTACAATATAAATTACTATACTTCTTAGTATTTACGAAAATACTTATAATGTAATATAAGTTCATTAAAGATATTAATACCACAAACGTAAATAAATAATAACTATAATGGTATAATTATAGCAGAATAATTAAATATTATACTAATAGTTAAAGACATAAACAGAGATACCTATTAAAGGTGTAAATCATACAATCAAAATAATATTTTCAGTGTATCATTTTTAATAATACTTAACAAATTTGAAATGAAAGCGTTATCAAATAAATTAAACATCGTTTTTTATTGTTTCACCTAATTAAATACAGTCTAAAATTGTGGTGAAATAATATTGTCTTTTGTATACATGTTACAAACCACACAACAATGGAATATTTAAAAATCACCAAATCTTAAAATAAAAATAAGTGATTGAAAGTTATTACATAGTAATAACTATTTTTAATATTGTAGTTTCATCGTTTAAAATTATAAAATATTAATAACGTTAAGTACGTAAAAATAAATTTGGTAGGTTTACATTGAATACTTACAAATAACATCTATTTAATTTGGGTACGTTACAACGATTTTAATAGTTACAGCTAAATTTATGATTACACAATATTATAATACAATGTACATTTATCGTCAAATACGTTTTAATTATATTTCAAAAACGATTAGTTAATCGTTCAACTAATACTCTTAATTAATCTACATATAAACCCGATTTTATGCGGCAACAATAGGTAAACACCTACAACGGTGTGTCATTTTGGTTATACACAATAAAAGCTACATAAATATTTTCATTGAATCGATAAAATTTACCTACACAATCGAGGGAATGATGGACAAAGTTTTGGATAGCATGAAAAGGCCGATCACCTTAATTGCCTGTGTCTAATAATGAAATATTATAATTTTATTTACGCACACTAAGGTCAATCATTTGAGGAGGAAATTTTAAAAAGTCACATAGTGATGTACGGCTTTGTATTTTAAAATATTTCGGTTGCCGTAGTTAGAATAGCTTGTTAATGAACTAGCGCAACAGTTTTCGTGAGCGATGGACCTTTAACGCGATCAAGACTGAGTCCCCCTCCCCTCCCCTGATAAATCCGATGGTAACCGTTTCAATAGACATCATTATGATTAATTATTTTTAAGATCTATAACATAGTTCATTCTTTCTCTACACAACCTAAACAAACAATTCTAACAGCATATACTATTCCATAACGTCTTTACACAAATAGGAAAACAATATAAAATAATTATTCTATTATTTGCCAACAATAATGATTAAATCATAACTTCTATCGTATAGCACCTATGTCGTAATCATCTCTTTGGTAACGGTAATCATTTCAATAAAGTCGATACAATGTTCGTATTACAATAAATTTGGGTAATCTTATTGTAAAGTTTATTGTTACAAAGTGTTGAGCTTACAAAATATTCAGTTGACGAAGGAGTAAAGAACTGGGAGTTGAAAAAAACGATGGGTGGTACACATAAAGCAAATTTTACAAGATGAAGAAAAATAAAAGCTGCTTTGTAAAGACAAGAATATGAAAGTTATTCACATCGAAGGTTTTCAATAATTATTTTTTTCCTTATCCGTTGTCTCCTTGTAACAATGGCGTCGAAGCAGTGATGTTGTTATGGTTTGCTATATTATTAGCTACGGATTTGGAAGATCCCATACTATTACTATTAGTGTGTATTTTACTAAATGATCCAAGTATGTTGTTCGGGAGCCCAGTGGTCACAGAAGTGTTGTTAGCCGCTGCAGCAGCCGTAGCCATTTCAGCAGCCGGTGTCTTTTCACCCAAAAGCCAGTAAGTTGTTACTTTACCTTTACCCTAAAATATCAAAAAAAAAAAAAAATACTGTAAAAAATCAAGACTCGAGTTTAAAAAAAATATTGTATAATCTATCAACATAATAAAATATAAATGATCATTAATCCTTACAAAAAACCAAATTTTCATGATGACAAAATAGTGATTTGGCAAAAGTTCATTGTGTAAAACTAATGGTTTTTTGTTTAAACATTATAATATGCATCTACTACATAAAGTGAAAATCTACTTGGCTCAAACTTTACAGTAAGAATAATAATTATTCAAATATGGCACTAAGTGTTTTAAGTGTCCTTGGTGTATTTAAATTTTTTTTTACTTTCGATTGCAAAAAATCGTTATCTTTAACTTGATATCTCATCGAGTACTCTTATTCTCTATTCACTTAACACCATTCCGTTTCTTCTCATCCACTTTCATTTAAAAGTGCTTTTTCTTTTATACAACTTTTTATTTTAAGATTACATTTAACTTTCTTCAATTAAAAAAATTCTACTGAAAAAATAATGTACCTCGACTTTCTAGTTTTCATTCAATATTACAATCTAAAATCTTACTCATATTACTAGTAAAATATAAAAATAATATTTAAACCAAATATAACTTATTTCAATCATAATTTATGTAAGAACATTAAAATCAAAATACATATCAATAAGATATGATAACACATTGAAAATTGATCTACATTTAGAAGTTAGATAGAGTTAAAATGTACAATACACATTGTGTATATTATATATAATGTATAAAGCATATACAGATATACGAGTTTTAAACGAGATTAAAAAAAGTTTTTATTAACATATTTTTGCACATTATGGAAAACAATGTAATCATTTTTAAGATATTTTTTGGAGAAGCAATTACGCATTTTGGAGAATCGTGTACTTTTTTTCAAATTAAAACGAAGAAAAACTAAAGCTTTTTAATCAATAGCTATACAAATATAAAATTTAATTAAATAAATCTATTAAGCTAAATTATTGAGAGACATGTTCACACATAAAAATACTAGATAGTTTTAAAATATTAGAAAACAATAAGAAAAATACTATCAATGTTTTATACTTGGTAATACTTTTAGATTATCTTAAGAAAAATCAATTTTAACTTATTAAATTTATTTTGGTAATCCTATTCTTAAAGCTACTGGATTATTGAATGATACAGTGGAATATGGTCAAAACTAAATGATCCATGATTATGTACAAGTTTTAGTACTTAAATACATTAATATGTTGAATTTTTACCTTCATCTCGACTTCACCTCTAAGTTCCAAGTCGAACGTCCCAAAAGTGTCAAGTACTTCTTTCGTTTGAGGACTCACATGAATTTTTAACGCTGAAAAAGGTAAATTTTGCTTAGTAAACAGTTTTTACCAAATAAAGTATAATCTAAATAAAATAAAAATTATAATTTTTCAACTATTACAATGACCGGATACATAGACAACGTATCGTTTTATATAAAAGCTCAAGTCAAATTAATAACGATATGTATTTCCTTTTTAACGAGGGTAGCTGCTCATTTAAGTTATTAATTATCCGCTACAGTAGAGAATTTAATCATCATAATATATTTAGCCTTTTAATACTAGCTAAAATACTCTGCTCATAAATTTCAACATTAAAATTGTATAATATTCATATTTCGACCAAAAAGTTTTCAGTGGAATATTAACACTCTCATTAAAAGGGTAAATCCTGACTTTATCCATTAGCATAGACAAACTATGTTAAAAATGTCAGCAGCGTCAAGTTGATTATTCAATAGTAACAGAAATTAACGTTTTTAAGTAGACATTACTAATTAACTTGAACAAAGTACCATACCAGAAAAGAGATTTTCAAAACGTAGTACAGAGTGTATATTTTTGATTGAATAACTTAATTGGAATGTTACTCAATTTTTTCCTAAAAATATTGCTTATTTTCACAATAAATATACTTGAGGTACAGAACGTTTAAAATATTTACCTTGCCCATTCGATTCCATCCTCGAAGCTGTATTGACCGTATCTCCGAACAAACAGTATCTTGGCATCTTAAGTCCAACCACTCCAGCAACGCAAGGACCTTATAACAAAAACGATTAAATCAGCCTTTTTCTTAAAAAGTAATTTAAATGTGAAATTTAAGGAGTAAAATATATATTTAACTAAAATATAAGTATCAAACAATACAATCTTTTCTAATATTTATTACAACTCAGTACTAGTTTTTAATTTATCTTATGTAGTTTGGATATCTTATTCTAAAGGACGAAATACCCGAAAATGTACTTTCTTTAAAAAATTAATTATTAATGTACGAATTAAATTTTGGAATAAAATTTACTAAATTAATTTTTACTTGACTGTTTAATTTAATTAAAAAGGGATATTATTCCCAGTGATTTCATTGCTTTTTTTGCAATAAAATCACTGAGAAAACTTTTAAAGTAGTAATCAATTTGTCATTGTTAAAAATGTTAAATAGTAGTTAAAGATAATTCGAGTTTTAATACTTTTTCATCAAGTATATAATTTGATTTTTCTAAATGGTCTGAGAATACATTTTATGTAGTGTTAATAGAAACTGTAATACTGCTGATATGGTAAAATGTCTAAGTGCCAACCATTGTTCTCGGACGTTGAACCTTTACAATACAGATATTAAGCGTATTATATAACATAGAACTGCCAATCTAGTAAAATGTTTTATTTGAGCTTCTGTGTATTAAAGCGCTGCCTCTCGCAAAAAAAAAAATGTACAGACGTAAAAGTAATGTTAAAAGTTTTCAAATTTTTAATTCAATATAATATCAAAGAAGAGAATATTAATAATTTTAAAAGAAAAATATCCTCTACAGAATAGTTTGGTAATTTACATTTACGAATTTTAATTTTAAAACTTAACATCTGCCCTAAATATTACGTTTAACGGGAATTTCGTATTAAAAATTTCATACCAATAAAATAGGTTGTCTGAACTAGGTAATGTTTAATAAATTTATATTATAAATCATAACAAGGAATACATATAGAATAAAACGATTTATTTAATTTACAATTTTTCTACAAATCGAACAATTATAAGTCACGTAATAGTATTGTATTTAGATTCCTTTGAATAAAAAATAGCAACAACAAAATACGCTACAATAGTATCAGAATTTATGCAGGTATTAGGCAACTGTATATTCTTAAAGTTTATACCTCTTCTGGGACGTTTTATGTGTGTCTGGGGAGTATACAATATTTTATTACACCAGTACCGAACAAATTCACTAGTGATTTATTTAAAACACTCCAAAAGCGAGTGTGTTATATCATTTGAAAGTAATAAAAATCATGTTATGTGAAGTATAAAACACTAGAAACAAGATCTATAACATCAAAAAAAGTATATCGCTGCAAAAAAATGGTCAATAGAAGTATTAATTAGATGAATTTTTTATTTTAATTTCACAGCAATTTGTGAAAAAAATTATACTTATAAATTTATAATTTTATAAATGATTAAATATAAGTGTTATTGAAAAGAATAATAAAGTACAGCCACGTATTAGTTAACTAGCAATTGCAGTCAATGTTACACCGAACAGTTTTAGATTTAAAACAGTTTTTTCAATCAATATTTGAACAAAAAAATAGTTGTAGTACGAATGCTTACAAACTTTTTATAAATATTCACTAACGGATAAATATTAATGGTTGTTTTAAGTACACTACCCTTTTGCGATAACATGCCAAAACAATGTCTAATTCTCGCCAAAACTTATTCAACGAAATAGCCATTTTTTTTTTATTTGTTGATAGCAAAAGCTCGATGCAAAGGTAAACATTGTTATATTATTTTACGTACGTGCACTTAAAGGGTACTGATACTGTCATTTGTTGTTATAATAATCTTTATAATACAAGTAAAGTATATTGTAATAGTAACAAATTCTACCCATAACTATACAGCTAGTCCAAGTTGCTAAGTAAGCACAAATTATATATATTTATATATATATACTGCAGATAAGCTTTGTAAAAATTTAAGCATGTTTCTATTCGCATTGTTTATTAAAATACGAAATTGGTATAATGGTATACTGGAAACTTAATATTAAACGTTAGAATAAAATATACATTTTATACTTATCAACGTTTTTTATTGAAAATAGAATATAGGTTGTGAAAAATTCAGAAAATTGAAGTACAATGCTTTATTACGCGGAAGAGGAGTGCGCAATATCAATAATAATAATAATATAATGCAAAATTAAACAAAAGTTATTATATCGTCTCCATATCTATACGCACCCCCTCAATTTGAGTACTGTACCTGAAATAATTTCTTAGATGATATGACATTTTATACTAACGATGAACCTATTATTTTAATTATAAGTTGAGTCTAGAGGGTCATATATATAAAAATTAAGAAACTTTTGTAAATTTATTCTTATTGAAATCTTTCTCAGATTAAAAATAGATAAAATAGATTTTTTTGTTTTATTAATTAATAGTTGATCATAATTTAATTAAAATTTCATTTTTGTATGAAAAGAAACTGAAACTAATGGTTGCATTCAATCAAAAAATTTAAAACAAATAAAAACATAATAATTATGCAATAGAAGTACTTCAATGTACGTATATGAAATTTAACACGAAAATTAAATTAAATTAAGAAATAATAACGAAAAATAAACATAAAAACCAAGAATGACACAATAATAATTATAGAAGATTAACTAGTATATCTTGAAGGACTTTTATATTTCATCTTGAACTCATGTGTTACATGATTTATGTTACTATATTTTGACCCGCATATAAATACCGCAGGGAATACATGGAATTTTGGAGAAAAGCTGATTGCGATAGGAAACTTATTCATTTCATTGAATTGGCATGGGGCTTATGAAATGACTGAATTTGCAGAATACAGTATTAATAATTACTTATTTTCAAAATCGATTGAAAGGGTTGATGGTTATATACATATATTTAACACAAACTAAATTTAAAAACAAATACACAAAAAGCTTTTGAACAATTATTAGATATGTACCAAAACAATAATGTACTTAGGCTGTTCATTTCAATTAAAATTTTTTAATCACTCTGCTAAACACATCGTGACTTAATCAATATTCTATAAAGATAAAAAGTAGATGTTTGAAATAGAATCGTCTCGAATAATCCATTTGTATTTTTTCTCGGTAAATGCCATTTTTTATTACAATTTTTATACGTTATTTTTTATTAAATATAGCTATAAGCGTCTTGAATGGGTCAGTTCTAGAAGCCAGCCGAGTGAGTGTACAATCAGGTTATGACCAAAGTGTATAATAAAATTATATCCGATATTTGCTGTGCAGTAATACTGTTATGCTTTAACCATAAAAAATTCTTCTACGACCATAAACAATGCAATGGCATCGATCATTTTTTTCATACTCCATCCATGACCATAGTGATGACATTTCCAGTTTAATACATTAGGTTTATGTTACACAATAGCATTTATAGGTCATTTGGTCATTTTAAGTTATGATCATTTTAAAAAGTCTATTATTCATGTCAATTTTGATAAATGTTTAAATATACCATTAAAACTTGAAGATATACAAGAAGAAAAAAAAGACGGACAATTGTCAATTATAAATTAAAATTTATGTGCCAATACATATTTTTTAATAAATTAACTATAAAAAAATATGAAACTAGAAAAAGAGAAAGGTAACTATTGTACATTAAGTTTCCTAGGGGACATACCCTAACCCTTTTAATAATTAATAAAGTAATAAAAATCCGAGCTCTGAGAGTGTCAGTTCTAGATTATATGAACATTTTATTATTTGCCGAGCTTAGTGACATTGAGCGCTTTACGGTTGATAATACAGATGTGTACCTATTTTGCATAATTTTTACGCCGTCATAAAATTTTATATGATTATGATTATTTACTATTGTTTAACTATTTAACGAATTTATAGCAATATTAAACTTTATTCGTACCATGAAAATTTCTTTTAAAAAATTCAATTAATGTACAATGTTGTGTAATGTCTTGTAAAATAAATCGATCACCTACCAAATGGTACTGAATATTTGCCGAGAACGGCAAATTGATTGAACGCACTTGTTTCAGAAAAAGCAGTCGTTTGATTGGGACGAATGGATTTCGTGAAAAAGCAACAGGGGAAAACACAATCTTGGAATTATGTTAACAGTCTTACCAGTATGCATGCCAATACGCAGCTTTAATTGATCGTCCGGGCGGTGCTTGATGGTGAAACTGTGTACAGCCGATCGAAGTGCCAGTGACATTCGGGCAATTTCTCTTGCGTGCAAGTGACCGTTGCGAACTGGAAGCCCTGACACGACCATGTACGCATCACCGATGGTCTCCACCTGTCACCGATGACAATAAGAAGTAAAAATAAAATATTAGTCGTATAAACTCAAACGGGAGGTGCAAACTTTAAATCGAATATTTTATTTAGGATTATATTCATTTGTATTAATTCATAACAGTGTAACCTCATTGCATCGAAACTCTTCTACTAACTAACCACTTTAGCTAATGAATAAATATTTATACACTACTTATTTAAAACCGTTTCTACCTTATAAACATCAAAGTTTTCTATAATGGAGTCGAAACACGTGTATAAGTCGTTGAGCAAGTCTACTACTTGTAGCGGTGTGCTCTCTGCACTTAGCGACGTGAAGCCAACTATATCACTAAAATAAATAGTCACGCTATCATATGTTTCAGCAACCACAGACTGGCCCAGGATCAACTGACTAGCCACTGACCTAAAAATGTTTAATTCATTAAAAATGTATTATTAGAACAATCAAACAAATTGAAATCGTCTTAGTTTATAATAATTCACTATACGGATAATTTACTTTTCTTTTAGATGTTTTAGTTTTTTTTTTCAATCAATCAAGAAATATATTTATATTTATCCCTTAAAATGGTGTTAACTTTAATTTTTCAAATAGGAAAATGTTTAATGAACTAGTTTATTTATTAGATAATGATCTAATTAAGAAAATGTTCGTTCGATAATAACTCCTGGACTAGTTTCGTAAGCTATTTTTATCACTCGACATTTCTAGACTACTTTTCTTCTCTATCTTAGGTATAAAAATGTTCATGGCTCTTGAAATACTGGTTCAAAAGTTATTATTGATTCTTCTTTATCATAATCGAGTAATTTTCTATTATTTCAATTAGTGAAATATGTATGTTGCCATTAAAAAAAAATTTGGCACCTTTATAAGGTATATATGGGATAAATATAAAACAAATTTTTGTTGATAAATCGAGGAAAGTATGTAATTAAAAGAAAAAGGGTTCGGTTTGGTATAAAAATGTATTTTTCGGCACAGAGTGTCAACGATATTTTTCTTGTGATTTTTTCATTAGTATTGTTTAGTCTCTGGTGCAAGATGGCCATAATATCCACCCCGTCTTCATTATTAGCTTAGCCAAGAACTATCTTTGACTCCTTAGCACGTGAAAGAAAACGACCACACTCTGTAGCATGTTAAATTCGGGAATTACGAATATGTAAATCTAATCATTTTTTTGTGTATGTAACTAAAAGAAATAAATTATCAATATTATTTTTATTTTTATTTTTGACTAATTAAATGGTTGGTGATAACATTTTTGAGTGCTGAAATACTAAAAAAAAGGATCTAATTCAATAGAAAACTTAATGACATACAACATAGTATAACTTAAAATCACAGCTATTTTAAGGTCAATGTTGATCGTTTTAATTTAATTATTTTATATAAATAAACATTTAAAAGAAGATAAATAGAAGCTAATACAAAAAACGTTATTATGAAACCAATTGTATTTTACCATCGAGAGCTTATCATTCGCAGTATTTACTATTTCAATTTAAAAATAAATATATTTTCCTTGTGTGTACAAAGTAAACTTCCCAAAGAACCAGACTCATAAATTGTTGGAAAATTGAGCATTGGTTTTTTAAGTTAAATATCTAAAATGTTATTTTTTTATCCGAGAAATTTTCTTTAGCAAACAATATACTGGATAAGCATTTGAAGTAAAAAAACAAGATTAAGTTTTTATATCGAAAATAAAAAAGCGAAGAAAAATAGTCAAATGACAATAAAAATATTATCTCTGAGTAATATTATTACCAAACTGGTGGTGAACTTGACCTTTGGCAAAAATAAGTAAAGTTGTAACACTTTCATCGATTTCCAGAATAGTTGTAATTCAGTAGGAGTCTATTCTGCTCTGGTGTTATAACTTTAACGTGTTTGATTACCTCGAAGTAACTTCTACAGTGGTTGACTCATGTTTGTTATGAAAATGTAATTTATTGGAGGAAACCAAACATAAGATACAAACACGTGCTAACAAAGTATGTACATTGGTAGGTATACACGTGACGTATTTTGTGTTAAATTTCAATTTTATTCAGTACTGAGAACTCGAATGAAAATCAAATACGAGTCATTGCATAGGATTTCCTGTTAATAAATTGTACTTATACTGTTATTTTAGTGTCTCGCGGGACACGCTGAAAAACGATTTGCGTCGAAAACCGTTCCAAAAACCGTTTGTCGCTTTTCATTAAATTTGTTTCTCAACGTTGAACGCACATAATATAATTTGGTTTTTTCTACAAAATCCACGTTTTTGCGCAAAACTTAACAATAGTTCCTTACACATTATTATGCGGTCGTTAGGCATTTGTAGAAGTTTTGCGGGTTTGTTTGTAATTATATTGGATTCTAAATATATTAGTAGTCGATTTCAATGCCTCATGATACACACGTCTTACTATATTTTAATTTTATAAATGTAATATAGGTAACATAAAGTAAAATTACTCATCTAAGTGATAAAAAACGTAGCTCAACAAAAGTTTCAAAAATCGATTTATAGTATATTAAACATGAACATTTAATAATATCTCTATGAATTAAACTTAACCCACAAACATTAAAATGCGAGCGATAAGAGTAATAAAGTCAGCATTTTTACTAAAGCGAAATGGAAAAAATAATGGAATTTGTAGGTATTGAGATATTTTATGTTTTGTAATTTAAATTAAATTTCAAGGTCCCAAAATAATTATGAAACGCTTTATTAATGTTATAAAGCCGCCTTAAAACTTTTCTCTGTAGCATTTCTAGCCTAGTATATATGTATATAATTCATTTGACTTTTATGTTCGTGCTTTAGAATTCAAAAGTCAATTAAATATTCTTTTTCGCTCAAAAAATCGTTTTAAATTCTTACTCAACAAAAAAGTTTTATAGATTTGTGTTCAGCTTTATACTTATGCATTTATTTACTTGAGTTGATTTAAATTTGACTCGTTTAAGTAGAAGAGAATAATGATAGATTAAAATAAATTACTAAAAAAACAAAGTTAGAAATTATATCAAAACAATCAATCAATTGGCTTACTAACTAAATTTTTGAAAATTAGGCTATTTGCTAGTCATAGATCAGTTAAATTAAATAAACATTATTTTACTGAATAATTACATATAATATTTATTTCTAATTAATTTAAGTAAATCTAATTTAACTCAAAATTATTTGAATTTATAGATCTATTCCTCTTGATTAAAACAATGAAAGGAACGATATTTGTTGAGAATTACTCTTCTGTAAGAATAAAAATATTACTCTACAAATAAATATCAAGAACATATATGTAACAAAGTATTAAATATCTGTTAAAAGTATTGGTAAATATTTTTTAATAAAAAGACATTGTCAAATATATGATAATTGTATAAATTTGAACTAATCAATTTCGCGAAAAGTTCATTAATCTTATGTGATAAAAGTTATGCTCAGAATGATAATTTTTTATCATCTGATTTTAATGATAATATAAAACTTTTATGATATAACTGTCAATTCTATAAAACAAATACATACATTTTTATACAGTTTATAGAACCGTCTATTAATACTTATCATTTATATTAATTTTATTATGAGTATTCCGCATTAATTTAAAATAAAATTAATATAAGTGAAAAGATATAGTATTTTTACCATATAATAGTCTGTTAATTTAAGATTATACAATTTGTACAAGAAATCACAAATTTAATACTAAACAATTACTGAAAAATGAATTTTGAAGATAAAGACCAATAAAAGAAGAGAAAAGTTAAAAGGTATGAATAGAAGATAACTTCATTTGATACATTGTACTGGAAGGTAATGATGCGTAACAGATTATCTTAAGAGTAATGCGTATATTCTAAGGACCGTTATTTTTGTACACACTATTGGTGTGTTTAAAATTATGCTCGTTAGTGATTTTGCAGGATTATTGATAGTGTCCCGCCTATCACATTTGAAAAATGTTTTCTTTATTTTAAATAATCCTCACGTAATTTTTTATCTTAAATTGAATCTTTAGAAAATTTTTTATCAATATAAAATGTCCAAAAATGGAATTTTAAATATCTAAGAGCATTAACCCAGTAAAAAAGCTCAAAAAATAATTCTCAGAATTTTACACTTTAAAGTTCTTGGAAAATGTTTACTTATTTTCCAACTAAAAACAGATTGATTGTTTATGAGATAGCGTTTAATAAGTATCGCGTATGCAATTTTCGTTGGAAAATTTTTTTTATTCTACGTCAAATGAAATAAAAAATTGTATCTTTAATTACTTGGGTAGTAATTGATATAGTAATTCTTCACACTTTCTTTTTTCTTCCAAATAGTCTGCAGTCCTTTCTTCGACTAACGCTTCTAAATTATTAGCATATTGTTCCATACGAGATAGTAAATTGTCTAAAATATTGTTGCTTTCATAATCTCTGAAAAAAAAACATTCATCGTTAATCATAAATAATATGTTAAAATATATGTATAAATAAACCAGTACAATAAATTCACATTTCATTACATACAAGTTAAGTTAAAATATAAACATGAATTTTGCGCTGCATCGATGACATTTAATATTATTTATTTAACTGTTACTCAACAGCTTGTGTAAAACTATTTTTATGTTTAACTTCATTTCGCCACTATTTCAATTCGTAAGGAGTCTTTAATGATCAAAGTTTTTAAGAAAATACGAAATACCTAAATGGAAAAACACATTAAGCGCTTAAAGATCAAAATTTACGTTCTGTAATAATGAAAAGTGCAAGAAAGTGATATTTTAAGTTATTTAAAGACAGTATTACTAAACACTTTAATACATAATTAATTTTTTTAAGTGCAGATTAAATTATTCCTATATTATATCAGTCATAAAGTTGAAATATACAAATAAAATTTATGACATCACTTTTATAGTAAATAACAATAATGTTTATTGTGAAAAAAAAGCAATGCATATTACTATAAATTAAAATGTTTATGATTTTTTATATTAAATAGATTGAAGCCATAAAAATATATGACAGTTATCAAATAGTTTAAGATTTCGTTACACAGTAAATTATTTTTAAAATATTTTTATTGGAATAATTAATTATTATCTAAAACGTAGGGATAAATATACTTTGTCAGAAATATAAAATAGTCTACAGCTAAAGAAGAATACATTTTTTGGTACTATATTATTCAAAAATATACTGTTACAGACAAAATCGAAGAATATAAATTATTAACTAGTTACAAAGTTTTATTAATTCAGTCAAGGATTAATGTTAATTAATCCTCTGGTAGATAACTCAGAGTAATTAGATATTATTTCTATCGTTGTTGACGTGAATTCATAATCAGTTTCTATTAGTATCGTACCAATTGGTCCGTTTAACTAATCAAGATCAAATTGTGTAGGCATTAAACTTAATTCTATTACGTTCATGATTATTCGATTTAGACAAACATAATTTCTCTACCAAAGGACAACAATTACCTAGCTCGGAGTTACATACTGTTTTATTCCAATGGTTTAAGTATGTACTGTATTACATAAAACAGCAATATCAGTATTTTACCGAGTCTTGAAGTGTTATTACTCTGGAAAAATGTAAAGTTCATTCCGCACTCCATGGGCCAAAAGTGTTGTCACCCAAGTTATAGTTGTACGTGACTTTCTTGTTGGCCGTATACATTATGTCGTCTGAGGTGTGACAAGACACGAAATGTAATAATATCATATTATACCATGTACATTGACATATGCACAAAAAAAGCAAGGCAATTTGTTCTGTTCGCATTTTTTGCAGTTATCACATTTGTCAGAAATAGAACTTGAAAATCCATCGTCATCATCATAACTGTTTACAATAAAGTTAACGTGCAAAATGAAAAACATTTAAAGTCATGTATGATGCATGACAAAGATACAATGTCGGACGAACGCTTAATTAATTGCCTCGATAAAGGTTATAAAAATAATTAAAAATACATATTACGCATGGAGATTTATATAAATATCAAAGAAAACTTTGAACTAGTTCAACTAAATAGTGAACCAGCTGTTACACTATTAGATGGAAAATATCAACACTTAAGCCACTTGGTCTCAATTTATAGGGAATAGGATTTTACCCGAAATTATAATTTATGAGTCTGTATGCTTTTCTAGCAAAATGAGCAATTTCAATTTATTTGTATACACACAAGAGCTTTTTTATGTTATATATGCGTCAACACATTTTAGTGAAAATATTGCAATGTGTAACAAAAACACTGTTTAGTTTATAATTTATGAGTGTATCCATTTTAGAGAAAACAAACATATACATTAATATGAATCAGCTAATATTATAGTACTTAAATATTTAAAATTTAGTACTTACATAATTGTATGTATTACATTTTTTTTTTTTTAAAGAAAACTTTAATATTTCAATAATTAGTTTTGATTGTATATTCTATAAATTACAGAATTTTGAATATTTCAAATGGGTACAATATACTGGTTTGTACGTATTAGATAGAATTTTTATTAATTAACATTAATTTTAAATAATGACTATCATTGGTAACTAATAGTTAAAAATAAAACTAGATGTTATTAACAAACAGGTGTTCAAAAAGTAAGGAAACTGGTTAAAAAAATTGAGACAATAGAAACCTGTATTCTTACTTACTGAAACTCACTATATAATTATAAAATAACTAAAGTCATAATATTTAAAATAAATTTAAAACGTGTTCCTTTAAGAACATTATTTTATGTTTCATATAAGTACATTTTTGGTGTGTTTACCATTATTGAATAGAACTTGTACGCCAAAACACTTAAAATGATATATCGTTCTCACTTCAGCAAAATGTTATCAAAATCTATCCATAAACACATTTCAAATTTCTTACTATATATTTTTGTACCACACTGGCGATAAAAGAAGTTTAATATATGTTTACACAATTTTGAATATATAAAAAAACTCTCATCATTCTATAAAACTCGATGTTTAATAACAAATTCAATCTAAAAGTTTTTAAAAATGATCATGACATATAGCTTGCTGCAACTAAGTAATGTTATCCAACTAAAAAATAGGACAAAATTTCGGAAAAATTAAATTTTACAATCATAAAGAAAAAAAATCACATTACATTTTCAATACATAAATCAAGAATATGATAATCATTAAAAAGTTATCAATAACTGTCCATACATTTTTTTTTGGTTAGTAATCAAATAATGAAGTGCGGAAAAAATGAATTGAAAGAAAAAATATATCAGTGTTTGTCATAATACAAAAGGTTTATAATATTTAATACTGCCTTCGTAATACCTAATTTTTGTTAAAAATGTAAAATATTAAAAATTAAAAGTTGACTTAAAATACATGTTAAATATTTTTTAGGATTTTTATCACAAATTCAAAACTTNATAATGAAGTGCGGCAAAAATGAATTGAAAGAAAAAATATATCAGTGTTTGTCATAATACAAAAGGTTTATAATATTTAATACTGCCTTCGTAATAACTAATTTTTGTTAATAATGTAAAATATTAAAAATTAAAAGTTGACTTAAAATACATGTTAAATATTTTTTAGGATTTTTATCACAAATTCAAAACTTCAGATATCGCATCTTGAAAATTCTGTAAGAATCATTTCACTTTCTGATATCCTTTTATTGAATCAAATGCAAACTCTCAAGTTAGAAGTTATTTCACAACTTAATGTAAAATGTATGTTTGTATTATGAGAGAGCAAGAACAAGTAATGAGAAACTTCTAAACTACATATTTCACACTCAAAATTTAGTATGTAAAAACATTATGTAGTCTGAGTTGCAAATGTATCTCATGTTTGAATTACGGTCAAAGCGACCCTTTTTTGTTAGTATAGCTGATTAAGAAAAGCAAAATAAAAATAAATTATGTTAGGATATAACTTGGAAATTCCGGTAACTTACTTGTTCAACTTCCGTATCGCTGCCTTAAGCGTGGTAAAGTCAGGGCGATCGGCAGGATCCTCAGTCCAACAACGTTTCATCAAAACACCAACTTCCTCGTCACAACTTAAGTCTGCCACACTGGGTCTCAGGCATTTTTCTCGACTTTTTACACTATCCACAATTTCTGTAACAATTAAATTAAATGTTTAAAACATGATTTTGCTTTCAAACACATAGGATAAAGCAAGAACTTTATAAAACAACATTTAAAATTTTTATAAAAAAAATTACTTATACTAGTAAATTTAGTCTTAAATAAAATAATATATGTAAGTAATTCAATTTATTTTGGTCAGGCAATCAATAAAAATTAAAACAAAATGAATCTAATGAATATTATGAATTTTATTTTACTGTTTTATTAATCATAATATTTATTATTAACGTTTCGTGAATTTTCTATAGAATTTAACATTTTAATTTATTAATGTATATTATTGATTATATTAGTTCAATCTTACAAAAAATTAATGCACAAACTAGGTGCTATTAAATAAATTAATAATATTTTAAAAAATTACCAATGAATATTTATGATAAAATGAGAATTGATTATGAATTTAATTATAAATAAAGATTTAAATTTAAACAGAAATTATTTTTATATACACAAGCCTAAGTTTATAGTCTAGAACGATAAATATATGAGTCTCATTAAACAAACTAAATATCACTTTTTTAAAACTGTGTTTTTTTTATATCTGTGAAGCAATTGACTTAGCCATTTAATAAACATATGTCACGATCACATGAACTTAAGAAATGTGAGTTATAAATTGATGTTAAAACCAAACACACTATTAAGTTATTGATAGTATAACTCTTAATTTCTTTAAGATCATCAGTATATGTGTATTTGTATGTGTGAATGTAAATAAAAAATAATGGTAAATCATGAAAATTTTACAATATTATTGAAGAGATATTTTGTAAGCAGTAAAACTGATTTGTATTTAATGGTACTTTATTTTTTGAACTTTCTTTGTTCTGAAAAATTTATAGCTACTTAAAATCATAAAATTAAGTCATATTCTTTTTTTAACTTATAATAACTTTAATATTAATAACTTATTTTGTTAATAGAGTTCATTATTCGCAAAACTAAATTATAAGTTTCATTTGTATACGATAGCTTTAATTTATTTAACTTAATCCAAAAGAAATGAGGTGGTAATATTTTTTTTAAGTAATAAATTAATTTAAATGAATTGATCATTTTGAATACTTTTGAAATAATTAATTTTGCAATAAAAAAAAGGATTCTCTAAAATGTATAATAAAATAATCGTAAGACATTTTTAATTTATGACTTAATAATAATTATAATAAATATGCAGTTGAAAATGGAATAATCTTAATAACAATGATTGTATAAAAGTTATTTGAAAATAACTAATACAACATTATTTATAAACCATCTACCTTATTAAAATTCGTTAGCTTACTACTAAAATAATAAAACTTAAAAAAAAAAATAATTAGAAAAATATCAGATATCACTTTTAAGTATTATTATGAACATATAAAGTAACATGTAAATAATTAATAAACATAATAAATTATAAAAAATTTAACATAGAATTGAGAAATATTAAAATAAAATTGATATACTATAATGAACTTTTAGTTTATAACAATGTAAATAAATATATAATCAACACTTTTATATTAATTTTATAGTAAAAATTGGAGAATTTTTTTTGTACGTTCGCTAGATTGGCTTTTTTATTCTTTGTATTTTTATCCCATTAACCAATAATGCCGAGTACAATAAAATACTATTAAAAATGGAAGCACTTCAACAATTTTTAATTTAAAATCATTAGGATCATAAATGAAAAATGTAAAATAATATTATATGTATATAAATATTTTCAGATTTAATTTTTTTTTTTAATTCTTTGAAATGAATTTACAAAGTTTGTTGATTCGTAATATAAAAATAAAGAGAAATATAAAAAAACATGGTTCTTAAATTAAAGTAATTTTATAACGAAATATATCTTAAAAATAAAATGTTTAATTTAACGTCTTTATCAATTTTAGTTGTATTACACTTTTTCCGGCAACGTCACAGAGTATTATAATTTATTTCAAAAGTAATTTACTGAACAAAGTGCATGGGATTTGAATTAAGCGATTACCCTTAAACGGGTCATTGCAAGTGAAGTTAGTACAATTTGTATTGTCTCACAAACTGCTTTTCGGACAATTACAAATAAGAAACAGTGAAATAGCATTTTTGGAACCCAACTGATAACATTATTTGTGCATTCGTTTTGCACTCGTCCTTCTAAATGCGACAATTAAGATGGTTGTCAGTTTGATTATTCCACCTATCAATGTAAAAAATAATTACCAAAACAAATCTGTGTTCAATTTTATAAGTTTTAATACAATGTTTATAAATAGCGTTGACTTGATTCTAACCCAATAGTCGATATGAATTTTAAAAATATAAAGTTTAAAAACGCAAACTGAACAGATTTCTATCGTTTAAGACAGCGTTGAGACAAGTCAAAATACATTTTTTGAATGCATATATAGAGTGTTCAGTAAGTAAGGAAACAGATTTCTATTGTTCTTATTGTTTATAACAATTGACCTATTTCCTTACTTACTGAGCACTTTGTATTACTTGCTGATATTTGCTCTCGGTTAAGTAGACGAACATCGCAATCTAAATAATGGATAACATATTTTTAAAATGAAATATAAATGAACTTTTTATGAGTTTTCTGTCGAATTATTTCGTAACTTAAACGTAAGTATTATAATTTCTTAATTTAAAAAATAAAAGTAGCTTTCATTGGACAGTGTACATTACTATACCGCCTTTGAATAATGATAATATTTTTTATTTTTAAAGAAATATTGCGCTTCTGAGTTGAATGAATGCACGTCACGAATTTAAGAAAAAACAACGTTTGTAAGTTATTGAATGTTTGTATAAAAATGATCTTATTATGGGAACACAACGTTCGAACAGTTATTACTTTTTTATGATTTTTGTGTCAGGTATATAAAGAAAATGCAAAGTAATACGATTTAAAACTATTTATTTTTTTTTGAACAATATTATTCAAATAACGTTATATATTTTTGCAATGCCAAAAAATCTATACATTACATCACAGACAGATAACACAGGGCAGCAGCCATTTTGCTGTCTACAATATTTAGGTGAATTCCACAACGAAATTTGACGATGATTTCAAATCTAGTTAACAATATTTTCCATGACGTCTAGTTTTCAAAAAACTTTTTTTATAATGATTTAATTGTTTAAATAATTATCTTAAAAGTTAAACGTAATGAAAAAAATTTGAAGCCAGAATCTAAGTCATCGTCAAATGCCATATATAATTCACTTAAATATTGTGGACAACAGAAAATTGTTAATTCTTTGTTTTTCTGTGTAATTGTAACACAAAAAAATTGTTCTCACGATACTGAATTACATTCACTTCAAAAAATATATCATAGTATAAATAAAAATAGAATTAGTTGTTTTTATTCATACATATTATTTAATTAATATATTTATAAATTGTATACGCTAGTGAAATACTATTAAATGATATGATATTATTTTATTACTCAAATTTGTTTAAAATTTTTTCAATAAACTAATGAAACATTTTCAAAAAAGGAATTAAGTCATGTGATGAAGAAAATTCTTCTATATCTTAATAATAAAAATTTTATGGAGTTTAATAAAAAAATTAATTATTTGATTAAAATTGAAAATTGATTAAATGAATTAGATTCTTAAAAAATTGACTAACAGTTAAAATTTTAAGGTAAACATTAAATCTGAGAATGATAAATTGATAAATTATGGAAAGATTAATGAAGAATTAAATACAACAAATTCTCTACCATAAATATTAACAATTTATACTTCTACATCAAACATTCAGTACAATATACAACAGAATCAATAAACGATAAAAATATAGAATTCTTAATGTATATCGTTTAAAAAATGTATTGTTCTAAATTTATATAACCATTGAAAAAATATGCTTCATTTTTCTCCATAAATTGAAAGGTCTGTGCAAAGTATGTCACTAGCACACTTTAATAAACTATTGTCCTATAAACTTTTTGTCTAGCAGTAAGAGCTATTGGTTAAAAACCTCCTAGCAATTTATTTAATAATTACAAACTTTAAAATTGTTCCGTATAATTTATCTGGCCTTAGCTAAAATTAATTATATCGATTGGGTCACGCAATAAGAAATCGAATGCTTCTATTTAAGGGAATACTGCGTTGTCTTAATAAAAATATTTAAAAATATTCTGAACTTCTATATTTTGTACGTCGTATTGTCTAATTTTCAATATATTGCATATGAAACCTCTTAATAGATATCATACGCAACATATTGAAGGTAATAAATTAAGTAGTTTCATCAGTATCTAAATCACATACAACAATGCGTACACGTTACAGAAGATAAAACATTTTTTATCGTTATTATCACTAATATTGTTTTTAAATAGAAAAATGCGCTGTACATTGGATTACCTTTTAAAGCTAAGATTAAAGTACAGAGCTAATCAAAAAACTAGGTCAGCAGAGTAAACGTACAGAAACGCAGTCATGAATAGACAGTGACGTCCTATGGGTCAAGTAATTTGTAACCAACAGCTGAGACACGGACATGCTGGTCATCAGTGACCAAAGGCGATTACTTTCGCACAGGGCGTGTAGGGTATTCAATATTGGAAACAATGTGTTACTCGCTTTTTCTCACCTCTTCTTAAATCCATGTCACGACTGCCAGAAGACTATTTGTAAACTTTACCGACAGAATGAATAATATTAAGCCCTACAGTTAATGATGTATTAAATAATTAAATTTAATCTCATCGTTGAAACGATTAATATTCGTTTACAATGTGATTTTTTCATAAAAATAATCAGTTTAGAAATAAATGCACAGAAATGTAAATGAAATAAAGAAAACTGAAGAAGCGACAATTTGAATAGAAATAACTTCAGTAGCGGTAATTAAATTTAAAGATAATTTTAGTAAATCTATTAAGTAAAATATTTTCATACTAAAATAAAAAACCACAATTGAAAATAACATTTTTATAAACATCACTATATTT